ATGGGCGACGGGCTCGCCCCAAAGAAACCGAGCGGCGCCGCGCAGAGCCGAGGGGTAGCAAGGCAGAGCATCCGCGAGACGGCGCCGCGGCCCACGCAAGCCAGGAAAGCGCGCCGAGCGCAGCGAACCTGAAAGCGTCGCAAGGCGCCGCGCTGCAACGACAACGCGAAGGGGACACGAGGGCGCACGAGGATAATGCGATGGGGGCGGCAGAGGGCGCGAAGGAGGCGCGATTGGAGCAGCAGGAGGCGCGACGGCGGCGTAAGTTGGCAGCAGGGGCCGCGAGGGGGCAGCAGGGAGCGCGAGAGGGGCGCGAGGGGGGCGTGAACGGGGCAGCGGGGAGCGCGAGGGGACAGCAGGTGACACGAGGGGGACAGGAGGGGGCACCAGAGGGGCGCGAGAGGGGCGCGAGGGGACGCGAGCAGGACGCGAGGGGGGCGCGAGGGGACAGCAGGGGGCACGGGAGGGACGCGCGGGGCGCGAGGGGGTAGCAGGGGGCACGGGGGCGCAAGGGGGCAGCAGGGACACCATGGGGGCGCCAGGGGGCAGCAGGGGGCGCGATGGGGGCAGCAGACGGCGCGGGGGGGGCGCGAGGACGCACCCAAAACACCGCGACAATCAGCCAAGATGAGCGGCCGCGAAGGCGCTGGATGAGCAGCTGCGAGGCGCCATTGCAATTTCTGTCGAAGAGGACCTGGCATGGGCGACGAGGACATCCCCAAAACACCGCGACAAGCAGCCATGAAGGCGCTGAATCGGCAGCCACGGAGGTGCTGGAAGAGCAGCCCTGCCCGCGCTGGATGAGCAGTCGCGAAGGCGCTCGATGTGCAGTCGCGAAAGCGCCAATGAAATTTATTTCGAAGAGGAACCAGCCTGGGCGACGAAGACGCACCAAATAATCTGCGACAGTCAGCCAAGAAGGCGCTGGATGGGCAGCCGCGAGGGCGCTAGATGAGCAGCCGCGAAGGCGTTACTGACATTTGTTTCGAAGAGGACCCAGAATGGGCGACGAGGACATCCCAAAGAAACCGCGACAAACAGCCTTGAAGGCGCTGGATGGGCAGCCACGAAAGTGCTAGATGAGCAGCCCTGATGGCGCTGGATGAGCAGCCGCGAATGCGCTGGATGAGCAGCCGCGACGAGGACACTGGAATTTAATTCGAAGAGGAGCCCGCGTGGGCGACGAGGACACACCGCCGAAACCGCGACAAGCAGCCAATAAGGTGTTGGATGAGCAGCCAGGAAGGAACCAGTGGGCGTCATCTAAAAGATGAACTGGCAATGGCGACGAGGGAAAAGGCACAGCAGGGGGCACGAGGAGGACACGAGGGAACAGTAGGGGACACGAGCGGGACACGAGGGGGACACGAGGGGAACAGCGGGGGACACGCGGGGGACACGAGGGGAACAGCAGGGGACACGAAGGGGACACGAGGGGACACGAGGGGACACGAGGGGGGCACGCGGGGGCAGCAGGGGACACGAGAGGGACACGAATGGGCATCAGGGGGCACGAGGGGTGCAGTAGGGGACACGACAATAGTGGACACGAGAGGACAGCAGGGTCCTTTGGGGGGCCTCCCAGCGGGGAGCCCCCAAACTCAGAAACCCAACAAAGCCTGGGCCTAAGAGCTCGATCCGGAAACCGTGAGTCCACTAACATCGACATGTTTGTTGGGGGCGTGTTTTGATTCCGCGGGTTTCCACAGGCCTTCTGCTGTCGGAGCTGCGCCCGTTTCACTTCCGCCGCCTCTCTCTGGCCTTCCGCTGAAGGACAAATTAAACTGCTCGGTCGGTCGAAGCGAATTCCCTCCTTCCTCCCCTTGTCCCTCCTTTTGCCTTCCGTTTCCCTCTTGTGTTCCTTCCGTGCACCTCCTATGTTTTTCCGCAATTTTTGTTCCCCCTTCCGTTGTCCTCCCTTTTCCTACCGTTTCCTTCCCTTTTCGCTCCGTGTCCCTCCCTTGTCTTCCCGCTTCTTTCTTTGTCAGTTTCGTGCCCCTCCTTTTTTCCCTGCCGTTGCCCTTCCTTGTCGTTCCGTTGCCCTTCCTGTTCCTCCCGCTTCTTTCCCTGATCGTTTCGTGTCACTCCTTTTGCCCTTCCGTTGTCCTGCATGTTCCTTCCGTTGAACCGTCCTGTTCCTCGCGCTCCCGCCCATGTATTAATGTTTTCCTCCCTTTTCCTTCCGTGTCCTTTTTTTCTCCTCGTTTCCTTCCATTCCCTTCTATGTTCCATCCGTGTCTTTCTTCCCTCTCGTGGTTGTGCTTAGTTGTCTTTTCCTTATGTGTCCTTGTCCCTCTTGTTTCCGTCTGTGTTATTGTATTTTCAGTCCGTGTCTTTGTTTCCTTGTCTTTTCCTTCCGCGTCCTTTTCCTTAAATGTGTGTCCGTTTCATTGACTGTTCTTTACGTGTCCGTGTTCCGTTCGGTTCTTTCCGTCCCGTTGTCTTGCTTCTCTCGTTTCTTTCAGTTTTCGTTCCGTGTCTTTTTCCTTGTTGTTTCCGTCCGTTTCTTTTCGTTTCCCCGCTCGTTATGTCCGTGTTATTTCCGTGTTGGTTTCCGTTTCTTTCCCATGGTTTTCCAATGTTTTTGTCCCGTCTCGTTTTTTGCCGTCTTTTTCCCGTTCACCTCTCGTTTCTTTCCGTTATTTGTCCGTGTCATTGTTGTTCCGTTGTTTTCCGCGTCTCTCATGTTTGTCCGTTTCTTTATAATTATTTGTCCGTTCTTTTCTTTTTTATATCTCGTGTTCTCCCCGTTTCCTTCTCGTTTTATTTTCGTTCCATTATGTGTTCCCTCTCGTGTTCATCCCGTTTCCCTTCCCGTGCTTTGCGTGTCTTCTTGCGTCTCGTTTCCTTCCGTTTCCCTCCCGTATTGTTCGTTTCCGTTTCCCCGCCAGGTGAGGAGCATTGGCGGAGTAAGGAATGATTTAATTCTGGAATTAAGTGATTATGTGGGCGGGAGAAGGCACCAGTCGTAGACTCATTTAACTCTGGAGGTAAGTAGTTTCGCAGTGGAAGATTTGGAAACATATCGGAGGAGGAGGAGGAGGAAGAGCAGGAGGAGGAGGGGGAAGAGGAGGAGGAGCAGGAGGAGGAGGGGGAGGAGGCGGAGGAGGAGGAGGAGGAGGAGGAGGAGGAGGAAGAGAGAGAGGAGGAGGTGGAGGAGGAGCAGGAGGAGCAGGAGGAGCAGGAGGAGCAGGAAGAGCAGGAGCAGGAGGAAGAGGAGCAGGAGGACGAGGAGGAGGAGAAGATCCTTCAGGCCATCATGAAACAGGAAACAAGAAATAGGAAGAGGAGGAGGAGGAGGAGGAGGAGGAGGAGCAAAAGAAGGAGGAGAAGGAGGAGGAGGAAGAGGCGGGGGTCACGACCCGCAGAAAAGCTCCCGGGCCCTCCCCCGCAAGACCCCCCCCCGCCCCCCGGGACCCCCTCCCGCCAGACTCCCCCTGGGCCCTCCCCCGGCCCCCCCCCCAACCCAGCGGGGAAGGGACAAAGGGAAGGGGCTTCGTTTTGACAAAATTTCGACATTGCTCTATCCCCTTTATTTGATCGATCCCTTTTACGACGACGACGATTCAAAGGAGGCTGGTTGGGATGGGCTGGCCTCGCGTCGAAGAGCCTCTCACACACGCCGACTGGGTCGACGGATTTCCTTCCTCCCCCTCCTTCCCTACCTCCCCTCCTGCCCTCCTCCTGCTTCTCCGCCTCATCCTCTTCCTCCTCCCACCTCCTCTCCCTTCTCTTGCTTGTTTCTTGCACTCCGCTATTCGGTAGTACCCACTCGGCGCCGCTGCGCGATGGGGGCTGTGAGCGGGGTCGGCCGTCGGGAGGGGCCCAAGGCCTGCCCAGGCCCAAGCACGCAGGCCGCTGCTGCCGCATCGCGTGCAGCGGTCGGCTGGCCGCGCACCAGAGTCCACCACCTGCCTCATTAGGGCCGCTGCCGCGCGTAACCGACGCGTGTGCTGCCCCTCCGCGTCCTCCTCCAACTTCACCACCTCCTCCTCCTCCCCCTCCTCCTCCTCCTCCTCCTCCCCCCTCCCCCTCCCCCTCCTCCTCCCCCTCCCCCTCCTCCCCTCCCCTCCTCCTCCTCCTCCTCCTCCTCCTCCTCCTCCTCCTCCTCCCTCCTCCTCCTGCTTCTCCTCCCTCCGCTGCCCAGACTCGGTGGCGGCCCGCTCCCACTCCTGTGGCAGCGGGCCGCCACCGCCCAGGTGCCGACTGGCTCGGGTACCTTCAACCCCGCGGGGTTCCAAGCTGCGCGCGCGCCGCCCCAGCAAAAGGGGGCCGGCGGGTTCCCCGTCCTGTTGTTGGGTTTCTTCCACCAGCGCAGGAGCAAGATCGTGCGCGTCCTCGAGAAGGCATGGCCTGGAAGGGAGGGAGGAGTGGTCAGGGGCATCGTCAGGGGCGGGGGTATAGGATCAGGTGGGGACGTATCGACACCCACTCGCCCATTCATTGCCCGATGGCCCACCCAGCCCAGGAACGTAGATTTGCGCTGTCAGGGGCCTATCGCTGATCTATCGGCAATGTCGCCGATTGCAGCTCGATGCTTCGCTCCCTGAACGAGCTCCTCCCGAACGTTCTCCCTCAGGAGTGGGGTCAGCTGTCGTAGGTGCCAAGTGTCGCCTCTGGTTGTCTGGTCTGCGAAGCAGAAGGGAGCCTGCCCTGAACATTGGTGAGATTCCGACGCCACCCGATCCGTGCTTCAAATTCAGGGGGCCAGGACAGGCGGGCTCAGAAACTCCGTTGATGAAGGTGTTTTTAGAGGTCCCTTTGTCCGCCAAATGTTACAGGTTGCGCCAAACGCTGTGCTTGGCAAGGGAATGGGCCTTGAACAAATCACTTGCGTGAGTTGGTTACGAGTCCCCCCTGTTCTACCTACTCCTTGCGAGGAGCCCAGTAGTCTGTCCGTTGCCTCGTGTCTCAGCAACGTAATCTGTTCCCGCAGCTGATCATCGGATGTCGGCGTACTTTAGCGACGCTCACTTGCTTGACTACAGTCAACCCGCATAGTTTTGATGAGCCGCTTTCCAAGGTTATCCTTGTATCCTTCCCCTTCGGCCCATCCTTGCCCGCTTTCGCTGGCCGCGCCCCGCTCGCAACGTGTTGACACGGCCTTCCAATGCCCTTTCCTTCTAATCGTACGTCCTTATTCCACGGGTTGGTTGCATTGCTCTGCTTGGAAGGGCAGTTTTGTAGGGACGACGAGGAACCCAAGGCACCGCTGCAAGAGCGGTGCTGGACATCTTCACTGGCATTGTCCTAGAAGAGGGCGGCAATGCCTTCTTTCTTCAGTGATATGATGCTTCATTTTGTTGGTTCGAATGCATGCCCCTCCCAAGCAGGAGCAGAAGTTCCAGAGCTACCTGTTCAGCCATGTCGAGATGTCCGGTACCAACTACCATTTGGTGTCTGGATACGGTACTCCTTAGAGCGGTGCCAAGTCAGGGGCAACGCTAAGGTGGACAGGCTCAGGGGGTGATGCATCGACCCCCAATCGCCCATTCATCACCGATGGTGGCTTGATAGCCCATCCTGCCCATGAACGTGAGGATTGGCTATCCGAGGCCCATCGCCAATCTGTCGGCAATGTATCGCCGATTGCAGCTCAATGCCCCCCCCAAGCTGGACCCCCTACGTTGCCCCCCACCATGCGGCCCTGCGATCTCCAATGCGATCGTATGAGCATTGCTCTGCCGATCTTCACTCGAGGGTTTCTCGTGCTCCTGCTGCTGCCGCGAATTCTGAGACCTTTCCGCGATCATTCGTTGCCCCCGTTCTTCGACCTTAATGCGACTGTGATTTGGCAGCGCGTCCAGGGGGAATGCAGAGAGCGCGGGCGAGGGTGTGCTACCTGAGGCTCTCAATCGACGGCCGCCGAGAAGTTTGAGTCTTTGATTCGCGCATACAACGACGCCGTCACCCACAGGATGGAGGCGACCGTGGTCGCCATGGGAGGGACGGTTACGTGCGCAAGCCTCCCTGGAAGATGCTCTGCGAGGAGGGAAGGGGGGGGAGCAGTCCTCTGGCTGAATCCCCCCAGGTAGACCCATGCGTCCTGGTCCTCCCCCTCCCGGGAGCGACTGCTCGCGGATCTCCCGCGAGCCCGCGCGTTTTCGTTGTTGGGTTGTTGCTGGCCGCCAGGGAAGTGCACCCTTAGTGGCCACGTCTGGGCTCGGCTCAGGACTTCAATCACTCAACTCAAGACTCGTCCGTAGCCATTTTGGCTCAAGGCTTTATCACTATCTCAGATTCGAGTCGGCCTGTGATGGCGGGGGTCCGCAAAACCGAAGGTTCTGGTGGCGGGTCACCGAATATGAAAGGCCTGGATACGGAAACGAAGAAAGACAACATGCCGAAAGACGAGAATATCGACAACATATACGACATGCTCTCGGACTTGACCAAAGATATGTCACAAACAAAACTGGTGGCGCAAACAGCGCAAGCCACAGCAGAGCAAGCAATGGCAACCGTGACAGATTTCAAGCAAGCGGTCAAACAAGTCGAAGCTTCGAACGAGGTCCGAAAAAACGACATCAAGGACATCAAAGACACTATCAACATGAAGCCAGGCATCAACCATGACAACAACGACGCAGCCGACAGGAGCGAACAGGTAGTTGCTTTGGGATTCAAGGACCCCTTCGAGTCCGACGTACTGGTGAGGAAGCTGGAGGACACATTGACCAAAATCTTGGATGACATCACAGACATCAAAGTAGAGACTTTCAGAAACCCTTCAAAGATGGCGATGATCACCTTTCCAACGATACCTCAAAAAGTTGCATTTTACAAGAAGATTCGCGACATGGAAGACACAAAGTGGCTGGATGGTGTATTCTTCAAAAACAATCAGACTAAGGACGAACAACTCGACGATAAGAGGCTTGGTTACACAAAGCATCATTTGTCTGAACTGCCGAAGCACCAGGACGACACGGTCGCCATCCTGTGGCCGAAGAGGATGGTTACAGTAAATGGGAAGAAGGTTGCGTGGTACGATTTTCACGGGCAATGGCATACGACCAGCATGGGCAAGTCGGTGGAGAAAGAGGTAAACAGATCGTTGGACAATTTTCGGTCCAAATTTAACCCCGACCCCGTCACGGACAGCGATCTGTAGGAGCCCGGAGAGCAACGAAACTCATAACGACAGCGCTAACACCAACACTACGACAGTTTTGACATGCCTCCCCCGCTCTCCATTTCCATCTTCCTTGACGCCCGCAGTGCCCGCAAGGCGCGGAAAGCGACTACCTTTGCCAGGACATTACCAACAAGGTCTTGCTATCCTTCGAGAAGGACGTGCTCTACCACTTCAAGTTCCACATGACTCTCAACACTCCGACTCCGGCTCCCTCCTCGAACCCACCAGCCTTCAATTCCGGGACTCCGACTGGGGCCCGAGAGACCCACGCAGCGAAGGTCACCATGTTGCCCAGCCTCAGGTTCTATCAACACGTGGAGTAAATGGAGGAGGGCGAAAAACGTATAAGATCGTACCCGGCGACGTTCCGTTGTGCATTCTTCAACAACGGCTTACGACTCCCGACTCCAGCCAGGCCGATTCCGACGCCCAGCATGTATCAGTACAGACTCCAGTTCCCTCTCCTCCACTTCCACCCAGCAGCTATCGACTTCGACCTCTAGCTTCCGACCTCAGCTACCAACCTCCACCCACTGACCTGCGACCTCAGCCAATCGACTTCCAGCTGGCAGATCTCGACTTTCAGCATATGCCTTCGTCCACATCCAGCCCTCGACCGCCAACCATCGACTTGCAATCGCAATCTATCGACTCCCAACCACCAGACTCCGACCCCCAGCATCCACCGCCATCCAGCTCCAGCCTTCGACCTCCGCCCATCGACTTGCAACCTCAACCAATCGACCTCCAAGCGCCAGATACCGACTCCCAGCATCCGCCGCCAGCCACAACCAGCCTTCGACCTCCACCCGCCGACTCGCAACCTCAACCTGTTCACCTCCAATCACCAGGTTCCGGCTTCCAGCGTCCACGGCCGCCCGCCTCCAGCCATCGACCTCCGCCCACCGACTTCCAACCTAGACCAATCGACCCCCGCCCGCCAGGCACCGGCCCCCAGCATCCACCTTCGCCCGCCCGCGCGCCTCAGAAGCCCGACTCGGTTGCGACGACTCTGCCTCGCCAGTTCCAGCACGCATGCAGAGATTTCCAGCAGAGAATCCCCGCATTGAACACAACGACGTGCCACTGACAGCCATCTTAAAGAATGCCAGATCTTTGCAAACAGGCGACCGCATCAACAAATTCACCAAGGAACGCGACGAGAATCAATGGGATTTTTTATCCTCATAAACGAGACTCGGCGCGCAACTACAGAGGAGCTTTGGGTCACTACTCAAGGGCGCACGTTTGCTGGCAGTGGAAATGCACGACGACGCCACGGAGTGGCGATTCTGATCTACAAAAATGGAACAGCTGTATACGCAAGTTCGAAGCTATTTCACCTCGCTTGGCAACGCTGTCAACACAGCGCGGGCGACTGAAGTTGTTATTCGTCGTTGCTTACTTTCCTCATTCAGGATATGGTGATCCGCGCGTCCAGAGATCCACCAGCAATGTCGGGGCACCAGGCAGCGCGTGATCCCTGCGGGCGATTTTGACGCTCAGGCGGGGCAGACGATCGCGATGAAGGATCACGGACCTACCCGCGACTCCGACTTTAACATTGAGAACAGCATAACGGACATGACTCATCGAACTACAGGCCCACGCGGCTATGGAGAGCAGAACTTCAGAGGCACATGGCTCTGACATTGCGCGTCCAGTGAAAACCTCACCATCGTGCACGCGTTCTTTCGGAAGCGCCCCGACAAGGAGATCACGTGCATCAAGCAGGATATCCAGAAACAGTTGGACTACGCATTGGTCAAGCGGGCCTTGTTCCGGTATTGCGCGAACGCGGAGGCGAACAACGCAGTCGATATGGGTTCAGACCACAAGTGTGTCGCAACTACCTTCCGGCTCCCCGGGCCATTGCTACCGCGGAAAAGTGCGCGCAAAGAGCGCGGCGCGAAGCGTGCATCAAAACTGAACAAACGAATGCCCGCAGTTGGGCCCATAATATCCCGCGAAGATGCCGCCCGACATCTCGATCGCCAAAGAACGTGTCTGCAGCCGCGCCTACTTCCCGAGGTGCCCGAGGATCTCTGCGAATACATTGAGGAGGTGGTGATCGAGACTGCAACTGGCTCCACCTGCAACGACCCTCTGCGAAGCGACGGCGCGACGATGTCCCGCGCCGAAGGCGAGCCGACTCCGTCGAACAACGCACGACTTGCGCACCTATCGCGGCTGATCCAAACAGGACGGCGGGCACCCAACGCCGACCGCGCAGCGCGGGGACAGCTGGGCAAAGACATGCGCCGGGAAATGCGACGACAGAAACGACGGGGCAGAAGAGAACGCATTGGTGATATTTTGGAGAAGCACAAAGGTCTCAATGCAAGCAAGACGTCAAAAACCAGGCAGAGGAAACAGTTGATCACGCGGATGAAAGATTCGGACGGTGTCGAGAAGTCGGCGCGAAAAGAAATCGCGAATTCTATTTGCCGATTTCTACGAGCAGCTACGCGATTCGACCGATCCGCCCTCGCCGCCACCTGCGCCCCACGACGAAGCGCCGCCGTTCACCGTGGAAGAGCCCACCAAGGCCGTCTCCGAGCTCAAGAGCAAGAAAGCGCCAGACACCAGAGGGCTGAAGGCTGAAATGATTACAAGCAGTTCGACGGAGCTTACGGAGGCACTCTTGTATCTGTACAACTCAACTCTCAAACCCAATGCCGCGCCGCCCAGAGAATGGGGACATGCTGCGATAAAGGCCGTGCCCAAATCCGGAGACCCACAACGAGCGAAAAACTACAGACCGATTTGCACCAGCCCGCTTCTGTGTAAACTTTTCAGCAGGCTCCTATATAATCGTCTGCAGCCGGCGCCGGGCAAGAGACAGATGGACGATCAGGCCGGGTTTCGACCAGGGCGCTCTATGATTGACCACCTGTTCGCGTTCAACCTCATTCGAGAACGAGCCCGTGAATGGAACCAACCAGTATGGATAGCGGCGCTGATTTCCAGAAGGCGTTTGTTTCGATCGAACGCAACAGTTTATGGGAAGCTATGCTTGCGCGGGCGTGGAACCAGGTCATGTACGTGCGATGCGGCGGCTCCACTATGGGCAATCGGCTACGGCGCAAACGGACGTTTCCAGCCGCCCGTTCAGTTTACGACGGGGCACCAAACAGGGCGACCCTCTTAGTTCTCTATAATTCAACTCGTTTCTTGAATTCATCATGGCCCCTCTGGTTTAAAAGTGGCAGGATGAAAAGTATGGTGCAACTGGGGCGCGCCGCGGCGCCCAACATGGCGAACTTCCGCTTCGCCGACGACGTTGTTTTGACGAGTCAGACGCTGCCGCAGCTTACGGAAATGTTGGGCGATCGCATTCGAGTTGCCAAAAAGCACGGCCTTCTTCTATGCCCAGACAATACGGAGATCATGTCCCAATCTCGCGCGGCGGGCTGGGACAAGTAGAGGGCCAAGCGTGGATGTATGTGGTGTGAACATCGAGATTGTACCTTGCGCTGGGGCGATTAAGTACCTCGGCCAAATGATCAGTTTCAACGGACCAGCACAAACGGAGGTCAACCACCGCATCAAGGCAGCATGGACGGCCTTCGCAGCAAACAGAGCTAACAAGCAAACGCTATCCACTCAAGCACCGGCTCCGCCTCTTCCAAGGCACCGTTACGCCAACGGTGCTCTATGCTTCTGCAACGTGGACGCTGACAGAACCTCTCCGGCAACAGCTCCGCAGGACACAAAAGAGAATGCTCCGCATGATCGCGCAGACACCGCGGAGGCGCAAAAGACGGGCGTCTTCTACCACCCAGCCGGGGCCCAGCATCCCCGCGACCGACCATTCGAGCACCACCGACGGTTCAGACGGCGACAGCAACCCACCACCGCACGAAACGTCACCACCAATCGACACGGGCACCAGCAGCCCCACGGAAAGTGACGAGCCGTGGGTGGAATACATCCGGCGGTCGACGCACCGAGCGGAATACCTCATGCAGCTACATAACATTACGCATTGGGAGACGGAACAGCGCCGGCAACATTGGAGGCTGGCAGCACGAGTTGCCGCACACCCAGCGTCAAGATTGACAACGGGCCTTACAGTGGCACCCAAGCCACACATCACAAAAACAAGTACATCGAAACCACGGTGGTCAGCATAAACGCTGGGATGCCGAGATCCGGGCATTTCTTCGCAAGCATTTCGAGGACGAGAACCCGCCGAGGGACCGTACTCACAGAAGGCACGGGGACATCAATGACACAACTTGGACACAGATGGCAAGGCGTCTCACAGAATGGCGGAGTATGGGGGACCAGTTCGTGACCGCGACATGAGATCATTCACGCTTTGTTTTTTCCAAAGGGGCTACGGTTCTGCTCGTCCCGCCCAAATGGGCGCGGCTCTACCCGCAGTAGAGCCGGATGGACGCTCGCTCGCTCGCTCGCTCTGGGTTCGGCTCAGTCGGCACTCTCGAGGACGAGTGCGGGAGGGAGCGTGAGGATGGGGGGGACGACCTCAGGAGCTACCAGCGACCACGAGATCCTGCGTGTTTCCCTCCTCACAAGCGGGAGTGTGTCTGTGAGTATTTTTGTGTCTGTCCTCCTAGCGGTTCAGGACGAGGAGGAGGAGGAGGAGGAGGAGGAGGAGGAGGAGTGCGATGCGTTGCCTAACATGGCCGTGTGCTACGCGAAAGCGGGCACACGCGGATTGCGACTCACGTCCGCGCTTCTCGCCAGCCCTCAGCCGGCTCGGAAGGTCGCAGCCCGCCCCTGCACAGCGGCGCCCGATGAGCGGTGGGAGGGCTCGTGCGCTACGGCCGCTCTCGAGGCAGCAGCATCTCACGCGCACCTGCCGAGCGCTCATGCTGCCGTTGGCCGCACGGAGCTCCGCGCAGAGGCTCTCTGATCGTCGCTGGTGTCGAGTCGCACCTCCGCACTGCGGACCACCCGCGAGATCCCCGAGGCTCACTTTGCCGACGGGTCCGCCTGCAGTCCGCCAGTCTGCCGTGGCTCGTGTCCTCCGAGCGTGCGTGCATCCAGTTGGCTCAGGAGGCCCACTTTGCCGCAGAAGTCGCGCGGGCGAGAGGGTCGTTCGCCCGTTTACCGCGCCCGCTGAGACGCAGGGACACGAGGCCACAAGGTCATCCCCAGGGGCGCGAAGATGGCCAAGGTTCGCGCGCCGCGGCCTTGGACAGAGCTGCTGCCCACTTCCAAGGGGGCGGAACGGGGGCACCTGGGCGCGAGGATTCCGTCGCGTCGAGCACCGCGGGGCGCGATGCGCAAAGCTGAGTGGCCTGGAAGGCAAAGTCCCAGGTTTCGAGAAGGCCTCCTCGTCGGAGGGGGCGCTGACCTCGAGCGCCTTCCTTGACGTTCTGTAGCCATTTGGGCTCAATGGACGGACGCATGCTTGAGCAGTCTGCCGCGGAGTAGGTTTCGCCTCCCCTCTGCCGAAGCCGATGCCCAAGTCGGCACGGAAGTGCTGTCTCCATTTACGCGCGCGGCCTCGGCGCCGACGGCTACGGGCGCCTGCTCGCGCTGGGCCTGGCTCCGAGGCCCACGCCAATGGCGCACAGTTGCCGTCCTTCGCGATGTTGCCCACATTGAACAGAAGACACGCGGAGGTAGGGAGGAGGGAGGGGGAGGCAGGGAGGAGGGAGGAAGGGAGGTAGGGAGGAGGGAGGGAGGAGGGAGGAGGGAGGTAGAGAGGAGTGAAGGGAGGTGCGAGGAATGGAGAGAAGAGGGAGGGAAAAGAGAGGGAAGAGAAAGGATGAGGAATGAAGAGGAGGGGGAGGATGGGGAAGAGGAGGAGAAGGAGGGGTGATAACAGGATGAGGAGGAATAGGAGGGGGAGGATGCGAAAAGAGCAAGAAGCGGAGGCATGGTGTTGTCCCGTGAGATTCGCCAGCGAGCCCAGGGGGGAGTGAGAAGGGGCGGGCCTTCTCAGAAGGCTCGGAAATCTCCGAGCCTTTGGGCAGTGTTCTAAGCCTTCCCCGAAGACGCGAACACCTCTCAGAAGGCCAGAGGCCTTCTCAGCAGCCCCGCCACCTTCTGAGAAGGCCGTCTCCGTCTCATGTCTCCCCCATCGCTCGCCGCCGAGAGGTGCCAGACCGCCCTCCAGTCTCTTCGCGCGCCCCCAGGCATGCCGCCACAGCCGGGGTGGTTTTCGCTGAACACCTGGGCCACGCCCAGGGTAGCGAGGAGAATCGCGTTTCGCGTGTCGCGACCTCGGTCGCGCAGTTGCCTTTCTCCATGGCGGCGGCGAGAGGGGGCAAGACGATACCGCACGTCGCGCATTGCGGGGCGTGACGTGCGAAGTCAAGTGACCTAGGACACCCTTGCATCATTCGGTCGACGACCGTTCCTTGCCTTTTCCTTTCCCTCCACCCCATCCTATGGAGCGCCAAAACAAGGGTCCAGCATCTTTGCACAAGCTCCTCATTTCCGGCTTCGAAGGTAGCGTGAGCTTCAAAATCTTGCGCGTAGCCCATCTTCAGCCATTCACAGCTGACTAATTACGTGTGTCTGTGCCCTGCTTGTGCCCGCCATTCTCTTGCTCTTCCTCACTATTCGTCTCCAGCCCATGCTCGGCTTGCTCGGCATCCACGCATGTTCATTCTAGAGTGCAGCGCAAGCTTCCAGGTCCCTCTTCTGACTGGCACGCTCGTGGCTGCGGAAGTCATCAGCCCGCTCCGCGGCCGTGTGGTGCAGCAGGCCGTGCCTGACCCGGGTCCCTTCCAAAAGCGCGTCGAGAGTGCCCGCTTGTGGTCGCGCGGCTGCGTCTCCGCGTCGGCAGACTGGCGCACGCAGCCCAGCCTAGGCTGCAGTGTGTGGAGCTTTCCGATCGCCCCGGCGAGCGAGCCCGACATGCGCATCCCCGGCCCGTGGGCGCGCCCGAGCCCGCCACGTCGCCCCGGACCCCAGACCTGTCGTCGGTCGCCCCATGGCAGCTTGCGCGGGTCGACCGAGGGCGGGAAGCAGAAATCATCGGAACCCTGCTGCACGGCGCTTTAGCTGGGTGCAGTGGATTGAGCGAGTGATTATGGCGAGGGGGAGGGGGAGGAGGGAGAACTCCGTCTTCAGCACAGTCTTCTCCTTTACCATGCGCGCGTGCGAGCTCGAACGGATGGGGAGAGGGGAGGAGAGGGAGGACGCGCGAGTAGATTGTCGAGAAGAAGGAGGAGGAGGAGGAGGAGAAGCAGGAGTATGGAGATGAGGAGGAGGAGGAGGTGGTGGAGGAAGGAGAATGAGAAGCAGGAGGAGTATGAGGAGGAAGGGTGAAGCGCTGGGGGAGTCGGACGCGGCGGTGGATTGGGAGAACGGAGAAAGGAGGAGAAGGAGGAGGAGCAGACCCCTCCAGGTGAGCACCAACAACAGATACTACGCAACATGGTTGGGGACCTTCGTGGCCGCATTCTACACATTCCTGGGCGGCTCGCAGGTCATCGCTGGGACCCTGGGTACAGGCAATCTGGGCGCTTTTTTCGTTCAAAGAATACGAAGTATGATGAGGCAACGATGCGAAAGAACGGCGAATATTTCTGACACCAGACGTTCGTTGATCAGTCTCTTCACAATCATCACGCAATAACTACACAGGGCATTGACTTATCATTTTGATGTGGGTTCAGCCCAGGCGCCCCAGCACGGTTGTGAAGTTGTGAGCGGTCGTGGTCGTTGCGCACGTTTGTTACACGTGGGTCCTGACTTCCACATGCGATCGGCGCTTACCGCGAGGGGGTCGCGGCGGCGCTCAGCTTCTGCCCTCCCGCCCATGGGCCAGCAGCCAGTAGCAATATATACCCGTGGCGTGGTGCAGAGGCCCCGGCACGTGCTGGAGGGGACGGCAGAGGGGCCCAGAGTTGTGCGTGCGGCTCGGTCTGCTTGCGCCGAGGCAGATGCCAAGAGAATCTTGCGACCATTTCTGGTCCCTACCCCTGCGGGTCTAGTCGGCGTTGTGGTGTCGGTCGCTATTGTTGGGGTTCATTTGGCTGCAGGCGTCCTCCGAATCCCGAGCCCCCCGCAAGGTTATCATACATCTGGCCTGCAGGGGTAGGGCCTACATGTGATTGCCGAGAGACTGACAGCAAGCGTGGTCACATTAGCGCCGGCGCTGACACCGCATCGCCTCCTCAGATCGGCACTGTGCTCTTGCTAGCTCGCTTACGGCTCCCACGCCCTGGTAGCATGTTCACACTTCATCTGCATTGTTGACACATCGCCTCTATTGTATTATAATGCTTCGATTCCTGGCACTGCCAGGGCAGCTATCACGTGGCCTTCGGCCCATCGCGCCACCGTGCCTGGGTTTGGAGTGAGGCGCAGTGGGAATGGTCGGGGCCTCCTGCAGCTTCTTCGGACTTGGGTTCTCTTTGGGACCCAATTGGGGGGATCTGGTGGGCATGTAGGTCCCTTCGGGATGCCTTTCAGGGGCCTCTCAGAGACCTCTTGGGGGCTTCTGCGGGGGGCCTTGGGGGCAAGTCTGGTGTCGTTGTGTTGTCTTCGGCAGGAGGGATCCAGGGGGGCCTGGCCTGACGCACTTCTTGGGACCAGAAATGACCGAATAGCTTCATGGGCTTCACTGGTCTTTGGGGGCTGGGGAGCCTTGACGCGGCACACACCGAGAGCCACCAGAAATCCCGTGAGTTGGGACTTACCGAACGTTGCAGTATTCTTTGAGGGGCTTGCGGACATTCCCTGAAGTGCGTACGGCACCATGGCGGACTGGTGCAGGGCCTGGGGCAGCATGGGTGAAGATCGAGCCACATCTTCAAGTGCTGTTCGGATCGTGCGTTGCAGTGGCATGTGCAGCGTCTGTGGCGACACATTCGGAGCCTATCTGTAATCATGTTGGCTCAGGGAACACAAGGGCTCGAACACCTATCGATCGCCCGTTGTGCGAGGTCTGATTTGCTCGGACATCTTTCGATTGCGCTTGTGGTGCAAGCTATCATCCATTTCACGAGGAAGGTCGCATTCCTTTACACCTTCTAGAAAGAGAACCTCGAACCATGTCGGCACGCCAGAGCCACAGACGTGCATCGACGGGGTGCCGCATCGCTACACAACTGGGATCCAGGCAGGGCGGCCCTACTTCCCAGAACAGCGATCCAGGCGACGTGGGGACCGCTATCTCCCAGGCCGGGCCGGCCAACAGCGACACGATGCTGCTGCACTGTCTGTTCGCCATGGTCTTCGCGGCGGCCGTGCTGGGAGTACTGAGCTGTCTCGGGGTCGTGGCCGGCTCCGGCAACAAGTGCGGCGCGGGCGAGCTGTACACCCGCTGCGAGGCGTGGCAGGACTTCCGTTCTTTGCTCAGTTTCGTGCTGGGGGCGCTGATGTGCCCCCTCCTCACGCCCCGGTGTGGCCGGCCCGGCGGCGAGGGCGGGGGCGGCAAGTCGCATTTCCACGCGTGCCTGCTCTGAGAGATGGCTCTGCTCCGCCCTCCATCCTCCTGCTCTCCTGCTCCTGCTCCTGCTCCTGCTCCTCCTCTGCCTCCTACTGGAAGCCGGATACGCTTGGCGCGGTTGGCTTGGGCGAGAGTTGGGTACACCTGTGGCCAAATGTACGTACCCTCATCGCTCGGCCTTTTTGTTAGCCGGGTACGCGTGGGGCTTCCTAATGTGTATTCACCGCGTGTATTCCACGACGTGAATCCAGTCATGTGTGGTTCCAGCTTCCCGATAGTCGTCTCCTTCTTTCTATTGGGGGGGAGGGGGGAGGGCGGACACGCCCTGCTCGAGGTGAAGGCCACCGTCCCGTCGGGGTGTCCGACCGCGGCGCCCGACTCGGAAGAGCAACCTTGGAGCAGGAGGAAGATGAGGAGGAGGAGGAGGAAGAGGTGTAGGCGGAGGCACGAGAGGAGGAGGAGAAGGAGGAGGAAGAGGAGGATGAGGAGTGCATCTCGCACAGGAGGGGGCTGGGGATGGGTGCTGCAAGCTTCATGTGGTCTTCCAGTCCAAGCCGTGGCAGCTGAACTTTCGCCTCGCTCAATGCTATGCCATCATACTTCTCTTCATTATGTTATCCCTCCCCTCACTTCATGCTCTCCTCTTCATCTCTCTCACTCTCGTTCTCTCTCTCTCTCTCTCTCCTCCCCCCTTCTCCCGTCCTCTCCTTCATCTCATATTCCCCTCCCCTCTCCCTCAGACTGCTTCTCTCCACTCTTTCTTCGCTCTCTCCGAAGGCTTGTTTTTGGCCAACATCGCGGCCCTCATGAACATGGGCGAGGTATGGGACGGCATATACACGAATCTTTTGGACATGGAGATGGTCGTTCCGTCGCTGAGGCCCCAGCGCGACGCCGCGGTCGCCCTCCCCCATACTTGTGACACTGTATTTTGTTTGAGGCGTCTCCGGATCACTGCCGCCCATCCTGTCCTCGCAGAGGTGGCCCCACCCAGAGTCTTAGACCAAGAAGGCTTCAGAAAGGCCAGAAACGAGCCAGAGACTGGTCCAGAACAGGCTGTGAAGAAGCCCAAACCGACTTCAAGGCAGGTCCAAACACTGTTTTCATGCAGCGCAGATGCCCAAGCTGACTTCTTAAAGACAGCGCCGCACATTGCTTTTAGATATCGTCGAGACGGAAAGATAGCTCAAGACGGCATCATAAGATGCCCATAGTTGTCCCACCGCCCAACTGCCCGTTTCTTTCTTGCTTGGGGCATGACGGGCGTTGTGGCCCCCGCTCCCTCCCCCCCCCTATGACGTAACGCTCCCCCCCCCAGAGCGCTCCGGGCAATGCCGCCCTGCGTTTTGGGATCCGCGTAGGAATCCGCATGGGAGTCTGGTCCGCAGTCGTCGTCGTCGTCGTCGTCGCTCGTGGCTTGTCGCTCGTCGCTCATAGTCATCGTGCGCGCGGACGCGGCTGAAACCTGTTTTTTATTCCGGGCCGATGACGGCAATCATGTAGGGGGGGGGGAAGGGGGTCGATGTCGTCACGTTTTCGCGCCGGCGGCGTCTGGGAATGCCTAGGAATGACGGAGGACGGGTAGCGCCAGCATGTAGGTGGCGATTTGCACCACAACGCCTATGTACACAGTGCTTGCGTGCACCACAGCGCCTGTGTACACCAGACCGCCTATGTACACCACAGCAGCCGCGTGCAACACAGCGTCAGTTTGTGCCACCTTGCCTGCGGGCACAACAGCTCTTGTGCACACCACGGCGCTTGCGTACACCACATCAGCCGTGTGCAACACAGCACCAGTGTACACCACAATGCCTGCGTGCATTGCAGTGCCTGCGTACACCACGGCGCCTGTGTGCACCACAGCAACCGTGTGCAACACAGCATCACTGTTCATACAGAATGTTATGACGAACCCTTTTATGACAAAATGGAATGCTTGTGGCTTCCGCAGAAAACAATAGAAAATAATCATCATGGACAACAGAGCGCCGCTGGAATCTACGAGTCCTCCCGAGTCCGCCCGCATCACCCTAACTCCTCCCGTCTGCGTCCACGAGGTTCCAGCTAAATTGGTCGTCCGAAAACCAAATGGACCGATTCAATCGACCATTCTGCGGTGCGCACTGAAATCCGCACGTGCGCTGCAGCGCCAACCCGCACGGCAGGAGGTACAAAAGAGGAGGAGGAGGAGGAGGACGAGGAGGAAGAGGAAGAGGAGGAGGAGGAAGAGGAGGAGGAGGAGGAGGAAGAAGAGGAGGAGGAGGAGGAGGTAGAGGTGGAGGAGGAGGAGGAGGAGGGAGGAAGGAATAACTTCGCATTCGATTATCACCACTGTCTTGGCGTGGCGTCCAGTCTTCCACAGCTGATCCTCACGTGCATGCTCTTTCTACCTGTCCTATGCACGCAGGTGAAAAGGCGTGTTCTACCGCTGCTGGCGGAAAACCGGGGGGGGGCCACTACCGGTTCGAACCCCTCCCCCCCTCCATCCGGAAAACCGGGGGGGGTGACTACCGGTTCGAACCCCTCCCCCCCCCAGCTCATCATGAAAAGGAGGGGGGGTCACTACCGGTTCGAACCCCCCCCCTTCGAAAACCGAGCGGGGGTGCGGACAGTGGTGGGGACAGTGTTGGTGGGGACAATGGTGAGGGGACAGCGGGACAGTGTTGGGGACAGTGGGACAGTGGGACAGTGGTGGGGACGGTAGTGGTGGGGACAGTGGTGGGGACAATGGTGGGAACAGGGGGGACAGTGGACAGTGGTGGGGACGGTGGTGGTGGGGACTGGTGTGGGGACAGTGGGAATGAGGTGGAAACAGTGGGGCAGTGGAGGGTACAATGGTGGTGGGGACAGTGGTGAAAGCGGTGGCGAGGACGGCGGTGGGACAATGGGACAGAGGTGCAGTGGGGAAAGCGGCGGGGACAGTGGGGACAGTGGTGGGAACAGTGGGACAGCTCAGTGGGACAGCGGAGGAGTCAGTGGGACAGTGGGGACACTGGGGATAGTCGGACAGTGGTTGTGGCCGTGGAGACAGTGGGGAGAGTGGAACCGTGGTGGGAACAGTGGTGGGGACACTGGGGACAGTGCGACAGTGGTGGGGGCAGTGGTGGGGACAGTAGGGACGGTGGTGGAACCAGTGGGGACAGTGGTGGTGAGGACAGTGGTGCTGGGAACAGCAGTGGGGGATGTGATGCGGACGGTGGTAGAGACTGGGAGTCGTTTGCTGGCGGTGCGTGGGGGGGTCGAACCGGTAGTGACCCCCCTCCGGTTTTCGTTTGGGGGGAGGGGGTTCGAATCGGTAGTGACCCCCCCTGGTTTTCCCGATCCGGAGGGGGGGGGGAGGGGGAGGGGTTCGAACCGGTAGTGAGGAGGGGGGGGGGGGAGGGGTTAGGGAGGGGGGGGGTTGCCGGGGGAGGGGGGGGGGGGGGGGGGTCCAGCAGGGAGAGGGGGGGGATTTTCGGGGGGGGGGGTCGCGACCCG